TGGTGTGAGAACCAACACATCAACATGCTCTGGTTGCCCCACGAAGAGGAGAAAGAGGACTAGGAGGAGGAAGGGAGAGGGCAGAAGGAAGAGCATGAAAAAGGAAGAAAAAAGAAAATAAATTTCCCTCTTTTATATAATGTTGCTCTGCATGTTTTGCTCCATTTTAATGCTCCCCTTTGCAACAAAATTTCTCCAAAGAATTGTCTGTAATTCTCAGTCTTACCCTTACTGGGCCCATCGACATCGTTTGGCACAATTGATGGTTTTCTCGCCTTGAAGCCCTTTCTTCCCTGCCCCAGGGATACTCCTCTCTTGCTTGATCCCTGTCTCCGGGCTTCTAGTTCTCACCGTCCTTTGCTGCTTCCTCAGAACCTTCCCAGACTCCACATGTTGCTGCTCCAGGGCTCAGTCCCTCCACCTGTTCTCTTCTCAATCTACACTCACTCTGTAGATAATCTTGGCTTTAAGTACCATAGCCGGGCGTGGTGGCTCACGCCTGTAATCCTAGCACTCTGGGAGGCCGAGGCGGGCAGCTTGCTTGAGGTCAGGAGTTCGAAACCAGCCTGAGCAAGAACGAGACCCCATCTCTAGTATAAATAGAAAGAAATTAATTGGCCAACTAATATATATAGAAAAAAATTAGCTGGGCATGGTGGCACATGCCTGTAGTCCCAGCTACTCAGGAGGCTGAGGCAGCAGGATCGCTTGAGCCCAGGAGTTTGAGGTTGCTGTGAGCTAGGCTGACACCACGGCACTCACTCTAGCCTGGGCAACAAAGTGAGACTCTGTCTCAAAAAAAAAAAGTATCATACATACCAGGATGCCGTCCCAATTTTATCTCCAGCACACACCTTGATCTCAAATTCCAGAAGTCAACTACCTACTTGACAGCTTCACTTGGATGTCTAATAAGAATTTCAAACTTGCAATGTTAAAATCAAGCTATTGGATTACCCCCTAAAACCTTGTTCCACCCCTGCCTTCTTCTTCCTAGTAAATGGTATGACTCCATCCCTCTAGCTGCCCATGTCACAACTCTTGGGGTCACCCTCAAGGCTCCTCTTCCTCTCACACCCCTATCCAATCCATTAGCAAACCTCATGGCTCTACCTTCAAAATATGCTGCGGTGCTTCCGCCCCACTCCCCAGCCCCTCCACCATCCCTCAGTCCACGCTCCATCCCCTCTGCCCACGGCCAAGGCCATGGCCTCCCAACTGGACTCTCCCTCTCACTCTCACTCTCCTGTGGTCTGTTCTCCACTCAGCTGCCACAGGGATGTTTTTAAAAAGTCAGACCTTGTCATCCTTTTCCTCAAAATCCTTCCCACTTCACTCAGAATGGAAGCCAACATCTTTAAATGGCCTAGAAGACCCATCTGATCCGGCTCCAGCCTGCTCCTGCGACCTCACCTCCCACCATCATCCCTCCCTTCCCTCACTCTACTCTACCTCCAACCACTGCTCCTGGAACATGGCTTGCACATTTCCACCTTGGGCAGAAGCTTTTCCCTCTACCTGGAATGCTCCTTTTCCTGTTATCAGCACGGCCCACTCTCTCATTCCATTCAAATCTCACTGCGTTCTCAGAGGGGTCTTTTCTGACCGCTGTATTTGAAACAACACCCTCCACTGCTCTCTGCCCTCTTATCCTGATTTATTTTCTTCTGTGCACTTACTATTACCTAGCATTGTATACTTATAGTCTATTTATTTTCTCCCCCTACTAAAATGAGGGAAGGGACTTTGTCTATTTTCAGCCATGCTACATTCCTAGTGCCTACTTGTATTTAGCATAGAGTAGGCAACTCGATTGATATATGTTGAATAAAAGGATGAACAGGCACACAAACTAAAAGATTTTCATCCCAGCATTTTTATAACAACAATAACAAAAAAACCTTGATGCTCTTCAATGGGAGAATAAAGAAATAAAATGCATTCCAAGTAAAATAAAAAGAATGAAATACTCTTCAGCTGTTACAAGGAATAAATTAGATTCATACATCCATATATCAGTATGGGTAGATATTAAAAACATAAAGTTGAGGGGGAAAAGTAACAAGCAGGATGAACTATAGATTATAATATTGACTGAAAAATGGGATTGGAAAATGGGGAATAAAAGGGAATACTTTTTAAATGAAATAAATAAGAAATGAAATAAATAAGAAAATATAAGAAGATAAAATAAGGGCTCTTCCGTGGACCAACAATAACATTGTGTTACAAATAGACTTTAAAGTTTGAATGTTATGTTTAATGTAATGTTATAAGTGTTTAAGGTTTTAAAAAAAAATGTGTAAGAAAGAAAATGTTGTCCCTGGGAAGCATTTACTTAACTCGGGAATCTGGGATAAAATTCCTAAGAGCTGTGGGTGAGACCACTGGGGCCTGAGCCCATCAGGCCAGGCTTTGAGGAAGCAGGGGGACTTGAGTGGCACCTGAAGGTTGGAAATGACATAAACAAAGAGCAGTAGGAGGAATTCCAGTGGGCTCCCCAATCCTGGAAGTAGGAAGGCTAAAGATACAGGGGCAAACCCACCAGCCTTAGCAGATGGTGCCATGGGGTGGGGGAAGAGATGGAAGAGAAAAAGATAAAACTGGAAATACTAAGATCACATGGTAGAATGCCTTGGATAAGGCTCAGGAGTTTGGACTTGATTCTAACATCAGTAATATTATTTTTGTGTGACACTTGCCCACTGTCACACAACTATTAATGTGGAAGCCAGGATTTGCCTTCAGGCAGTCCGATTCCAGAATTCTCACTTTTAACCACTTCAGGACCAGCATCAACTACAGTCGACAGCCACAGATGAACGCCCACAGCTACTTTAGCCGACAGCCGTGATGACTTTTCTAATTTATCATTTATCAAAATAAAATTGTGAACATTTAAAAATAACGTAATGAAAACATATATGTATATGTTACCTATTCTGATTTACAAGTAAAGCTGCCTGTAAAGTAAAACAAGCTTTCAGTGCTTTCAAGCTTTCCTCATCACACAAGAGCAAAACGGATTCGTCGTCAGTGCACAGCACAAACTATCTTGTGGACTATGAGTGCCAGCTGTGGGCAAGGTTTCGCAGCTGGTGAGCGCCATACCGAAGTGGTTAACCACTACACTAAACTTCCTTCACTGGGCAATAGGGATCCCTTGAAGGTTTTTGAGCAGAACTTCAAGGTAATGGACATGGGAGTTTGGCAAGGTGAGTTCACCAGAACGACTTTCAGGGGACAGAGAGTGGAGGCAGCAGTCTGAGGCTGGGGGTGTGATTATGTCCATGTGAGCTGATGGGAACTTACCAGCACGTAGCCAGGGAGATGGGACAGGGAGGGACCAACGAGGTAGGACCAATGGGGCTGGCTAATCAGGTTTGTTTTGCGGCCCTAATGTGTGCTAGGCATTGCACCAGGTTCTGGGGACACTGTGGTGAAAGAGATGGGCACAGATAATTAATTAATAGAAAGTGTGCAAAATACTTCCAGGTAAAAGGAATGAAGGGGCCCAACCTAAAGCAGAAGGAGGGGTGGTCTTTGTATGTACTTACTGCTCTTCTTACTAAAATAACAAATGTTATTCATGAGGTAGTGTTAATATTTCATACCTTTGCAAAAATAATTTTGAAAAAAAAAAATCAGTGTCTTTCTTCTCTCCATACCCAAGAAGGTAGAATATTTGTCATTTAAAAAAAAGGATGCCCGTTTCAAGTTAATCATCCTTTATCTGAAAAAGCAGAAGAGGTGGCTTAATGGTCATCTAATTGACGGATGTAACTAGAACTCTAATCTGGTCCTGTGATGCATAATTATATAGAAAGGTAAGGTCTGTGTTTCTGGATAATGAATGTGTTGTCTTCGAGTAGCTTTTAGAAGTCAGAAAGAATAGAAATTCTAACTGGAAGATCAAAGGTGCAAACCAAGAAAATTCTTCCCAGAGGTTGCCCAAGATATAGCAATTTTTATGAATATTTATATATTCACATGAATCATACTTTATTTGCTTTACTTAGTAAGTTATTTGAATCCCTTAGGCATTCTTTTATTCATAAAGTGTAATTGCACGCTATCAAAATGACTGTAATATCTGATAGCTATGCAGACATTTATCTTTTGTTTCTTAACACAGGGATGCTTATGAGGCAGAAAGTTGTGCTTAAACAACACGTTAGTAACAAGAATCAAAGGTTCTCAGCCACCATTTTCTCTCCCTTGGATATCACGGAGCCACTCGGGCTATTCTAGTGTCCCTCCCCAGCCCCCACCCCAGCACATCAGAGTGAGCTTTCAGAAAGGAGGTTTGATCACGTCCCCCACGTGCCTCCCGCTGTCCCTGACCGTGACACGTGAGGCCCTTATGATCCAGATGCCGCCTCCTATGACCCTTCGCTGCATTCTACTTCCCCATCACTCTGCACTCCACCCACAATCACCTCTGAGCTCACCCGTGCTTCCTTCCACCTCGTGGCCTTGGCACATGCACCCTCTTCTTCCCGAAACAGTGCCCTCACCCTTGTGCCCCTCCTCCTCCTGCTCACCCTTTAGTTCTCAGCTCAAGGGTCCCTTCTTTGATATACATGACACCTCCTATGTGCCAGGCAAGCTTCTGTGTAGACAGAAGCTCACACACTTATATTCTAGTGGAGGAGGCCAACAATTGATGCAGAAAACCATCAGGCACCAGGTGACAGCCGCTCACAGCCTCCCCTGCACTCCCCATCCCTGTGCCGCCAGCGTCCGGGCCTGCACTCTGGCGGCACTAGCTGCATCATCCTGATTGGGTACTTTTTGGATCCTCCTGTTTCTGATTGGATGTTAAAGCTTGATGCTGATTGGATGTTAAAGCTTGGTGCTGATTGGATGTTAAAGCTTGATGCTGATTGGATGTTAAAGCTTGATGCTGATTGGGTGTTAAAGCTTGATGCTGATTGGATGTTAAACCTTGTTGTTGATTAGACGCTTCTTGAGTCCTACCAAAGGTATAAAAGCAGGAGGGGGTGGGGCACGGACAGGGCAAAGATCAGAAGTCGAGAAGAGAGCTGTAACACTGGCTGTGCTGAGCCTGCTGGCTGAATAAAGGCAGTTCTCCGACTCTTCGCGTGCCACTTGGTTCTTTCCCTGTCAGGTGCTGTAGCACTAGCTGTTCACATTGCCATAACACAATCAAACGCTAAAGATGCGCCATGTCAGGACGCCGGACGTGCCAGGAGGAGGAATAAAGCAGAGTCGCCAAGGTGGAGATGAGGCTGACGCTTTAGATAGGGGTGGTTGGAGGCTACGGGGACACTGGAGCAGAGACCAGAAGGAAGAGAAGGAGTGAGCCAAGTGGCCCCAGGCAGAGCACCCTAGGCGGAGGGAACGCCGGCACAAGGCCTGGAAGCAGGAGGGCTCTTGGCTTGCTCAAGGAACAGCAAGGAGGCCAGTGTGGTTGGAGCAGGGGGAGCAGCGAGGGGGCCAGTGAGGGAGATGAGGTCTGAGAGGTGACAGGGAAGGGGCCACAGGCCACGGAGGGCCTTACAAGCTGTGGTAAGGACTCTGGAGTTCCCTCCATGGGATAAGGGAGCCACTGGAGCAGATGAATAACAGGATTTGATTTTTGTTTTTGCAGGGAGCCTCTGGCTGCTGTGTGGATAATGAATCCTAGAAGCTGGGCCGGCAGGGAGCCCGCAGAACCCATGCAGAGGTGGGACGTTGGGTGGGACTGAGGCTGGGGGGAGGGAATTGTGATTGACTTCTAGATGTACTTCAAATGTCAAGCATACAGCCTTCTCTGAGGCACCCCCTTACCTAGGTCAGATCCCCTTGTGCTGTTTTCTCATCAAATCATCCATTCAGTTCATAACTATATATTCTTTGTGTGGGCTGGATATTCCATGTGATGAGATAACATTCACAGCTATTAATGGATTCTTTCTATGTCAGGCAGAGCATGGACCACTAAGGAAAAGGAGTCTTCTCCTGGATCCTGAAGTTTCCAAGTTTAGGCCCTGCCTGGAAGGGCCCGCAAAGGCAACAGGTTAGGAAGAATGAGTGGTGAGGAAAAGACTCCTGCCAGAGTGAGCCGGGGATGGCCCAGCTTAGCCAGTGAGCCCTAGGACACGTGGAGAAGAAGGCAGGAGAGCAACCATCCCTGCTGGGCTCTGACACCAGGCTTGCTCCCTGTTCCCCCTAAGCTAAGGCCCGGGGAAGGAGGGGGCAGAATCTCCACTTGGGGTTTCTGACATCTCAGAATAGATGGGAACTTCTCCTGGCGCGAGGTCCCTGGGGAGAAGCACTGTCATGGCGTGTCTCAGCAGACAGGGCCCAAGGAGGCCTCACCAAGGCACGGCAGGGCCTGGGGCAGCACATGGTTCTGTTTATAAGCTATGCAAATGTTCTGTGTCTGTGCTGTCTCATAAGGCAGCCACCAGCCATATGTGGCCGTTGAACCCTTGAAATGTGGCTAGTGTGACTGAGAAACTGAATTTTTAATTTTTAAACATTTTAATTAATTTACATTTAAATAACCACATGTGGTTACTGTACAGTGTAGCCAAGATGGGGCGTGGAAGTAGGAGACTGAGGCTGCTCTATAGCTTTCACCATGGCCCCGTAAGGCATGAAAACTGCAGACAGTTCCCTGTGCACCCAAGCAGTTTCTGGAAGTCACTAAAAAGGCAGACCAAGAGGAGCAGGAAGGAGGGGCCCAGAATAACTACTCCTGCACAGGCGTTGGTGTGGAAAGGTGATGGCTGAGACCAGGTGCCCACCTCCATCCGTGTCTGGAGCCATTAAAGCCCACCATCCTCCAGGGCCCCTTAGACATAACTGCAGGGAAAAGCAAGGGGAGACCTACCTGAATTGATGACATTCGGTGTTCACTGCCTGGCAAAATAAGGTTTCTTAGTAAAAAATGGAAGTGAACTGCAGAGAATGTGGAGAGACATGCCCTGCACACTGTGCTCTGTAAACTGACATATAGTTATGCCACAAACGCCTATATAGAGATAGAGAAAGAGCTATATCTACATGCTAAATATAACTAATTTCTTTTTGCTCAACTGAATGGTAAGCGCCATTGGAGCAGGTATATCAGTAATGTTTGGGCTATGAGTAAAAGGAAATGTGTCCCCCCAGACTGAAAGAATTTGAAGTTTGTATTTTCACAAGACAGGAAGTTCGGCACTGGGCAGTTGCTGACGTTGGTTCACTGCGTGGTGATGGCAGGGATGGTGTCTCTATTAATTCTTCATGTCTCTGTTATTTTCCCCCACGGTCACTCCACTGCTCCAGCCATCACACTTGCATTAAAGGCAGAAGGGGAAAGTCTGGTGCAAGCTGCGTCTATCTCCCTTTAGTAGGAAAGTCCTGGCTTTCCCAGGAGTGCCTGGCAGACTTTCCTTCCTATCTCGTTGGCTAGAACTGAGTCAAGCAGCCTTGCTGCAAAGGGGGCCTGGGAAAGTAGGGAAGAGAATTGTCCTGTCAGAGCCCAATAATGATTCATCACTGGTGGTGGAATAAATGCTGCCCTGAACAAAAACTGGGGTCTGCCGGGCGCGGTGGCTCACGCCTGTAATCCTAGCACTCTGGGAGGCCGAGGCGGGTGGATTGCTCGAGGTCAGGAGTTCAAAACCAGCCTGAGCAAGAGCGAGACCCCGTCTCTACTATAAATAGAAAGAAATTAATTGGCCAACTAATATATATAGAAAAAATTGGCCGGGCATGGTGGCACATGCCTGTAGTCCCAGCTACTTGGGAGGCTGAGGCAGCAGGATTGCTTGAGCCCAGGAGATTGAGGTTGCTGTGAGCTAGGCTGACGCCATGGCACTCACTCTAGCCTGGACAACAAAGTGAGACTCTGTCTCAAAAAAAAAAAAAAAAAACCTGGGGTCTGTCAGCAAGGAAGAAGGGGGTCACTAATAGTGTAAATGGACGGAAGGATAATGACTGGGTTTATATGTCTAGTACTCAGCACCATGCACATCCTAAATGGGAATTCAGTCAAAGCCAGAATTTAAGGTGGTAAAGATTGTGTACAGTTAAAATTGCCCTTGAATATTTCCTGAGGATTTCACCACGTTAGAGGCCAACATGCTAGAAGCCCACACTGTTATTTTTCCCATAACATTGGAACAGATCGCTGATTTCAGCAGGTGAACTAGCTAATGTTAGGGGTTTCTACACGTAAACAGTAGGATTTCTAAACAATAGGATCACACTCAATGCAGCAAGATACTTTTATTCTGAGAGGCATACGAAACCCTCACCCTGAGGTCTTAAACTGGTGGGTAGAAATGGCCTTACTATTTAAATAGTTGCCCACCTGCTATGAAGCATATGGTATAGAGCAGTGGGTCAGAGCCTGTCCGCTGGAGGCAGACTGCCTGGGATTGGAAGCCTGCTCCATCACTGACTAGCTTGTCGTGACCTTGGGCAACTTAGTTAACCCCTCTGTGGCTCAGTTTCCCATCTGTGAAATGGAGATGATAATGCAACTGGCCTCACAAATGTTATTGTGAGAATTAAATGAGAGAATACAGGTAAAGCCCATGGGTCTGGCCAGTGGTAAGTGCTATAGAAGCTTTAGGTATGGGGTATTATTATTATTGCTATTATTCCACAGTTGCATTTACTCCTTTTAAATGTGCATATAATGCTACTCCCATGTGGAAGGCATTCAATCAATATTTGTTCAATTAATAAATAAAATATATTAAAAGTACTTTATTCAAATGTTTGATTAACATTCAGTCAGCAATGGTTACTCACACTGTCACTTCTTCTTACCTTTGAAACTTAATTATCATGTCTTCTGTGAAGAAATGCAGAAATGCACCCCAGCTGAGAAGGAAGTACTTAGACATTTAAAGGAAAATGGAATCCAATCCTTAATAATGCAAATATTCATCACAGGGTGTTTTGTGTAAATATTAGGGATTTAAATCATGACCCCCCTCCATGCCTTGGGCAAATGAAAGAGTTGGAATAAGAGTGTTTTACAAGCGGTTTCCCTAAGGTGTTCATAGGTGTCCTTAAATAAATTAGGGGAACCTAAAGATCAAGTTAAAACTGTTGTCTCTCTTTTCCCTGCTGCAGTTCTCAGACCGCTTGAGGTTAATTTGCATTGTAGATCTCTGAAGTACTGTCCAAACTTCTTTGATGACTAGAACTTTCTTTTTTCAATTTCTGTGAACATCCTGCCAGTCTACTGTTCTATCAAATGCCGGATGCCTTTCAGGTCCCTCCTCCATCCAACTCTAAAATTTCCTCTATGCCTAAAGAATGTCAGTAGGCTGAGGTTGCTTTTAACATATAATTATATTGTTCAAATCCCTGAATGGTGATCTGTAAATGTCCACGCTGGGGCTGAAGCCGTTGTGCTCATCTTTGCCTATGCACTGGAATCACTAGTGGAGATTTAAAAAAAATACTGATGTTCAGCAAGCCCAGCAATTGTCATTCAATTGGTCTGGGCACCACCTGGGCATTGCATTTTTGAAAGCTCCCCAGGTGATTTCCAATGTAGAGCAGTGATTGCAAACCACTGGGCTAGCAGAAGGACTCCTTCCTTGGCTGGGCCAGGGGAAAATCAGGGTCAGAAATGTGTGTTTCTCAGCAGAGTTCCAAACATACCCCGCACGTGATCCGAGTTAGGACTCAATTATCGTCCCAGTTCTAGGCTGTGGGTATGCTCAGAGTGAGGTGGGTGGCAGCACTGTGCAAGGCAACAAGGTATCACTTATTTATTCAACCACCCTGACGTTGCAAAGACAGAAATCTGTACCTAGCACTGCAATAGGTACTGGGGATGCAACAGTGAGTAAAACAGACATGTAAGGTCCCTAAACATTAAATAAACAGCTAAACATCATAAATAAACATACAAATACAAACTGTAGTGAATGCCACTGAGGGTTTAGGAGGTTAATAATTAAGGTCTCTCCCTCCCTCCCCCTGCCCACCGCCCCACCTTGATTTAGAAACTAAAAGACGGGCACAGGTGTCAAGGAGATGGAGATAAAAATGTCATCTTCCTCACCCATAAGAAGTCTATGGCTTAGGCATGGCCAAGTGGGCTTGTTAATGTGCTGCTCCTGAATTGGACTTAGCTCCATTCTCCCTGCAAACTCCAGGCCAAGGGACTGATCTATCCCATCAACCTACTCTGCAGGTATAGAAGAGCCCAGACCAGCAACTTCTTCAGGTGGGAAGAGCCAGACCAACAATGCCCAGTTCTTCTTTCAAAACCCACCAAGGGGAGGAGTGGTTGCTACACCGCTGGGGTGAGGCAAGAGGTCAGGAGTGTTACATCAAAGGAAGGCCCCCCTACTTGGAAACACGAGGAATGGAGAATAAGTGATCCACCCTCCCGCACAATAGAAGGCACAATGAGGGATGATAAAGGGGTGACTCCTTCAGGATCTGGATGTTGGGAAGGCTCCTTTGAGGGAGACACTTCAAATGAGCTCCAAGCAGTTTGGCTCCACAGCCCAACTCATTTGCTGGCAGGATCTAGAAATCCTGCAGGGTTTGATGTTAAGATGTGAGCTTTTTTTCCTAAAAGCAATGGCAATATTAAGTTTAAGCAGGAGAATGAAATGATCAGCTTTGCATTTTCAAAAGCTTACTCTGCGGCTGGGTGCGGTGGCCTATAATCTTACCACCCTGGGAGGCCAAGGCAGGCAGATCGTTTGAGCTCAGGAG